TTTAGCTCTTTCCGACCTTCTTTAATATGCCACGGGCCAAAGTAATCAACGGCGCAGAAGGTGAACGGTGGCGCAGGTTGCAATCGATCGTAGGGAAGTTCGGCCATTTTCTGCTCGGATACGGTACCACGAAGCTTCCGACACGTGACGCATTTGGCGATATGATGGGCCACTGCAGAAGTTGCACCAATGATCCAAATCCCGTCCTCGCGAATCTCGTTCAGGGTGATTCCACGGCCTTGGTGTTTGACTCGTTGATGGTAATGTTGGATTATGAGGGATGTAATGTGTCCCTTTCTCGGTAGGATTACGGGGTGTTTCACGTGAAAGGGGACATCGGCGCGTTTGATTCGTCCGCCAACTCTTACGAGTCTTTCTTTGTCGATAAATGGATCTAGTCGATATAATGCGCTGTTTCTCTTTAAGCTTGCCTTACGATCCTTGACGTCTTCTCTTTTCGTGGGGTTGGATTTCAAACGACGCAGGAGTTCCATCTCTACGGGAAACATTTCCGTTTGAATCGCCTTCATAATTTCTACTTCCGCTTGTCGCAACTGTTCCACGTTTACCGGCTGATACGAATTGGTGCGTGTCTCGGATTTAACTTGTTCTCGATCTGTCGTACAACTTCTCAGACGCTTTCGGAGCTTCAGGCAAACTGCGATGGCTCTTTTCGCCCGGTGCCAATCGGAGAAGTATTCAAGTCTCTGGAGAATCGTTGACACGTTTTCGGTCGTTCCTTGCGTGGCGAGTGATTTTACTTTCTTAACTTCGGGATCGTCTTCCGAGAGGGGCGGACTTTCGGTGGTGGATGTGTTGATCTCGGGATTCCATAGAAACGCTGGTCCGGATAGCCACCGAGGGTTAGATATCAGCTCTTGGGCACTTAATCCTCGTGACGCCTCGTCTGCTGGGTTCTCCTTACTCTCTATGTATCGCCACTGGTTCGGGTTAGTGCACTCTCGAATTTGTTGTACCCTATTCGCCACGAATATGTGGAAGCGTTTGGCTTCGTTATTTATATAGCCAAGCACTACTTTGCTGTCCGTCCAGAATATATCGACGATCCCTTCGTAATTGAGCTCTTGGTGAAGTAGGTTGCTTACCTTCACGGAAACTAACGCCGCCGTTAATTCCAGGCGAGGGATCGTGACGCTCTTCAACGGGGAAACTCGAGCCTTTCCCATGACGAACGAACAATGAATTTTGTCTTCCTCGTTAACTAATCGCAGGTACGAGCACTGACCGTATCCCGAGGTACTCGCGTCTGAGAAATGGTGAAGCTCGATGGACTTTAGCTCTCCGAATCCATCTGGTCGATAGCATCTTTGGACGCCCAGGTCGCTCAACAAGAGTAAGTCGTTACGCCATTTCTCCCATCGTAGTCGAATTTGCTCGGGAATTGGGTCATCCCAGTCGATTCCGTCGCGACATAACTCCTGTAGAAATTGCTTTCCTTGAAGTATAAGAGGGGCTACGAATCCTATCGGGTCGAAGATGGAACTTACAGTGGAGAGGATTCCGCGGCGGGTAGGAGGTTTGTTCTGCAGGCTCACTCTTAGCTGAAAGGAGTCGGACTCGATGCACCATTCTACGCCAAGTGCTCGTTCTATTGGCAGGTCATCCTTGCGAAGGTCGAGATTCTTTATACCGGAGGCTCTATCGTTGGGCGGGATCTTCTCTATCACCGGCTTCGAGTTTGAAACGAACTTGTGGAGACGTAATCCACCACGGGCGCATAGGTCTTTGGTTTTCTTAATCAGCGAAACGGCTTCCGAGACTGAGTCGACTGACTTCAAGCCGTCATCAACATAGAAATCGTCTCGAACGAAGTTCGCTGCTTCTGTGCCGAATTCTTCTTCGTAGTCGTTGGCTATCTGCTTTAAGCCGTAGTTCGCACATCCTGGAGATGATCCGGCTCCAAATAGGTGGACCGTCATTCTAAATTCTACCGGGGGGTTGGTTGTATCTCCGTTTTCCCACCAAAGGAATCGCAGGAAGTCTTGGTGGGCCGCGATGACGTTGAACTGGTGAAACATTGATTCCACATCACACATAAACGCAATTGGACTTTGGCGAAATCTACACAGCACGCCGATCAGTTGGTTGGTGAGGTCAGGACCCTGTAGTAGCTAATCGTTTAGTGACTCGCCCTTATACTTGGCACTACAATCGAATACTACGCGCATCTTTGTGGGTTTCTTCGGGTGATACACCCCATGATGCGGAATGTACCATGTGCGTCCATCGTCCCTTGGAAGCTCCTTTTCAGGAACTCTTTCCGCGTATTTTTTCGATACTAAATCATTCATGAAGGCAACGTAGTCCTTACGATACTGTTCGTTATTCTCGAGCCGGGTTTTGAGTTTGGCTAGTCGATGTAATGCAAGAGACTTGTTGTTAGGCATACTCGGTTCTTCTTCGCGGAACGGTAAAGGCATTTCGTAGTGTCCGTCTTGTCTCTGACGAATTCCTTGCTCTACCTTGCGTATGAACTTCCTATCGTCTTGCGATATCGGCTGTTCGTTAGTTTTTCCTTCCGAGAAGTCGGATTCCAGGATCTGTCTTACCTGGACTGGATTTAGTATTTCCTTCGTAGTGGTCTTAACTGAGAAGAAGCACGTCTTCCGATGGAGTGGATTTGTGTCATTTGTACAGCACGATATAACTCTACATGCGTGCGTGGTGTGCATCTCTTCATGGTCCTTGTCTCGCTCGAGGTTGGATCTTGAAACGTTCCCGACAATGCCCCATCCTAGATCTGTCTTCTGCGCGTATGGTTCGTTGTCATTGCCGGGTATGATTTTTCGAGGCATAATGGCTCTGGGGCAGTTTGAACCGATAAGTAGACCAACTTCAACGTTATGTTGATATGGAGTCAAACTGTTCGCAATGGGTACTAGATGTGGCCACTGGTTTACCATTTCGGGACATGGGATCTGTCTTCGTCTGGCTGGTATCGTTGTGCACGAGAAGGTCGTGGGAAGAGGGATAGAGACGTTATGGTCGTAGTCGCTAACAGCAAGTCCTTTGATTTTATTACTGGCTATCACTTCGTTGTCTGCATGCATCGTTGACAAGGATAGTTGGGTTTCTGGGCCGCTGACATTTAAACTATTTAGGGTTTCTTCAGTGACGAAGGTAGTGTCCGATTGATCGTCCAAGAGGGCATACACGAGTATCTTGGTTTCAGGATTATCACTATGGTTGATCCAAACCGGGATTATCATGGAGCTCATTCGCACCTGAGTTCCATCGTTCATGAAACATGCCTTGGTACAGTTGACGGTCGGTGAGTTGGCATTATCGTCAGGACGGTCCTTATCGTTGCCTGGATTTTCCCTGAAATCCCCATGCAGCGAGGTGGGGTGTAACTTTCCACAGGTCTCACACTTCTTTCTTTTCTTACATTGCTTGGACGTGTGTCCTGGTATTAAACAGCCATAACAAAGTCCTTTGTCTCTTGCAAATTTCTTTCGATCTTTGATCTCCATTTTACGAAACTGTTCGCACGAATTTAAATCATGAATTTCTTTGCAGAGTGAGCATGAGTTACTCACTGGCTTTACCCTTTTGGATTGGCCTTCGTCTTCTGGATCTCCTTCCATAGATCTTGTCGCAAAGTTTCTTTTATCGATTTCTGTTCCAGCTCTGTATCTCGAGTAGGGAAGCTCTGGTCTCCGTGGATCCTTCGGTCGTTTGTTCTCGTCGTTTAACTTACTGCTTCTCAGATTAACTGGATCGCATGCGATATTTGACTCGGTTACCAGGAATCGAACGAATTCCGAAAAGGGGGGAATTTATTCTTCTCCTCTCTTGACGTGTAGCCAACTCTTGCCCAGCGATTTGACAACCACTTGGGTAGTTTGGATATCATCTTCTGGTTTTCTTGTACATCGTTGAGCACGTTGAGGCTACTCACTTTCTCCGTTGCCGTTTCGCATTGGACAAGGAAGTCGGAGTACTTTCGCAAACCAATTGCATCGCCAGGCGCAATTTGTTTCCATTCTTCGAGTCTTTTTCGAAATGATGCTGCTACTGTGAATGGATCGCCAAATCGTTTAGCCAGCATCTCCTTTGCTTTCGTATGTGCGTCGTCGCCGTCCAGGAGCATGAAACCATTCACCACTTCTTTAGCTTCACCACTGACATATTTTCCAAGAAAATGTAATCTTTCGGCCGGGTTGATTGCTCTGCCTTCAATAAGGGTCTCAAATGCCTTCACCCACATTGGGTATTGCAAAGGATTACCACTGAAGACGCCCGGCTCCGGCAGGGGTAATCGGTTCTGGTTTTGGACTTCCAATAATTTTGTGATTGCGGTTAACTGAGCTTGAACCAAGTCAGGGTTTGTGGCACCAGTTAGGGTGTAAGGTGGATTGATGTGGACATTTGTAGGTGTTACGTTGATTTGTTGGTTCGGTGCTGAGGTGGTAGCTTCTTTGCAAGAGACGTATGGTGGGACGTCTGGGTTCAATTTGGATTGAGGAGGAACTAATAACCCACATTCGGGAGGGAAGGAGTCAGCTGTATCATGCGTAGCAAGTTCATTATTCTCACCTTCAGCAGAAGGTTCTGCCTGAGATCGAAGGAATTTCTGAATGTGCTCTCGTGTGGCATTACTTTGATTGTCGTCGTCGTCAAATATCACAGACGTACCCTCGTTTTCGAACCGTGTGCATGCCTCGACTCTTGCTTCCCTTTCTGCTAACTGTTCCTTAAGTTTGAATGTTTCCTTCGTGGTTTCGATTTGCTCAATCAAACGCTGCTCTTCGCTCTGGATTTCCAGCTTTCGCCTTTCGATTTCTTCGGGTGCGACTCGGTTAGCCTTGTCTAGTTGTTCCCTTTCCTCTACAAGATTTATTTTGGCTCTCAATGTTGCAATTTCCTCTTCGAGGTCGAGTCTACGAAGTCGTGCGGATGAACTAGTACTAGCTAGTGATGAACGAGATAGTCTACTTCGATGACTTGATCTACTTCGATGAGTGGATGTGATTACTGAATGTCTATCTTCGTTTTCATTCAATTTTAGCTGTTGAATTGCTTGCACCGCTTGGGCAAGTATTTGATTTGTTTCTCGACTCATATCCTCAAACTTACTATACAATGTCATCTTTTCGATGGCTGAACCTTGGATGCGCTCTAATTCTTTTTGGGCAGCAGTTAGTTCCTTCATGCATTGTTCTACAATATTTGCTTCCTTTTCTAATATGGAGATGTTTGTTTCCTTTATTATTTGTCCTTGCAAATGATTAATTTGTATTCTTAACTTCTTTGGTATTCTATAAAACTCATTTTCATGTGTCGATGATGTAGTACCAGTTTTTACCGGCAGATCTGGCACCCCTGTCTCATTTTCTTCAGCCATATTTGATATTTCGCAAGAATTACGAAGTACGCCCGAGCGCTCTCCGGTTGCTTTCCGATAATTAAGTATTCAAAATGGCGCCGAGACCACGTTGTATGAGGTTTTCACTTGTTTCCATCTACCAAACTGACATTACGTCATTTGATCAATTTCTAAAGTAGTTTCTTTTTGGATTTTTTCATTAATTTGGTTAGGGTTAGAGTTAGGGTTGCGGTTAGGGTTAGAGGTTAGAGTAGGGGTGGGGTTTGGGCTAGTTACATAGCCATTTAACACCCCTTCCATCTTCCAAAAATGACGTCATGTCAGTTTGGTAGTTGGAAACAAGTGCTGACCGTTGTATGATCGTTCGACCGGGCTATTCGCCCTTATAAACGTAAATATGACGCTTAAATGCGAATAAAGTACGTGTTTCTGACCTTGATGTCGACCAGGTTCGTTCCTTCGTTGTGAATTTAATTCGTTTTACTGTAACTCCTAGCGTTTCGTTAGTGATATTAGACGCATGTGCTAGGATTGTTCATTCGTTCATAAATACTGACAAGCAAGACGAGACATCCAGGATTAAAGAATAGTCGTAAGTCGTTAACGCAAGTTGAATCTAACCTTTAATATCCTTCTACATACGTCTAAACTTGACGTAAAACGAATGTTTTAACAATAATATCACTAAGATAAGTCCTTCGTGTAAGCTACAGTTCGCAAAAGTTCGCATAAGTTCAAGTTGGTATATTAAAACGTATTGGTTTTTTTTGTGGGGCCTGAGCACTAATATGCCCTTATACGGTTCGCAGTTACACCCATATTCATCCGAGCCAGTGACTCATGTTAAAAGTGCACGACAGTCGACAGAAACTAATCTATGTTGCATACATTGGTGAAAATCTATATTTATAAAAAACTAGTATAAGCTGCTACTTATAAACAATATATCGAATATATTATATATATATATTATAACAATATATCGAATTATACTATATAATACTATAATACTAGATTGGCATCGAAATTGCATACAGTTCATGCAGTTAGTTCATGTTTCAGGTTTAAATGGTTTAACGTATTTAACAAATCGAACTCAATTACTCAAATGTGTAAGATCGGACAAACTAGGTCGCAACCATAGATATCTTATATACACTAGATAGTGCATCTAATTATTCTGCAATTCAAAAATTGAAGCCGTGATTGCAGTCTCAGGTCGTTCCCATGAAATGAGAAGATTCGTATGTTTTCTATTTCTTAAACAGGGAACTTAAACATTAAGTTACACCTATTCCAAATACATTTTTAAACTATTCAAATGATGAAAGTTATTGTTGTTTTTATAAGCGTTTATTAGCAAGTGGGAACGATCAACATGGCCGCCATCTATTCAAATGGAGGTAACCGCCAACCTCGTCCCCAGGGCCTTTGATATTCTTGACTTCAATTTTACTAAAAGAGATACGCTATCTAGTGTATATAAGATATCTATGGTCGCAACACTTATATATACACCATACGTTGTGGAGTACCCCAAGGATCTAATTTGGGACCACTACTGTTTCTCCTATATATAAACGATCGACCAAACTGTTTATCGCATTCTTGCATCTGCCGGCAGGGGCGTAGCCTGACCTTTTTAACTGGGGGGGGGGGTGTAACATCTAAGTTTTACCGACCCACGCGCCACGAGGCGCCACCATGGTTGGCGCCAAGCGGAAAATTTTTGAAAATATGGAGTCTCTAGATCGTTGGAAATGGCATTTTCAGAGCCTTCTGTACCTTATACACACAAGGTTTGGTAGCTTTTATTTATATCAAACAAAACCATATTGTTGAAGTTGTGTTATTTTCGAAATCCGCGAGAATCCGTCAGATATTAACAAGCTGTGAGACTGTGAGTGTGAGCTCACCGTGAGGTTTTATTAGAATCCGTGACCGCCCCTTATACGCTACATATAACATATACATATACGATAACAGCTATACAGCAATTGACAAATAAATATTTCGGCGCGCGTTTAATTTAATGACACTTACCGTGACTTTAGTCAGCCGTCTAGAAATAACGTAGAACCAGAAACGTAGCAAACGCTTTATTAATTGGAATAATTGTTGTCTTTGTTACTTCGCGATAAGTCATTTTACCCAATGGCATTTATCTTGTTGTTTATTCTAATGAACAGACTTGAAAAATTGGCGAAACATTTTATGAGCACCGCGTGTCAATAACAAATATATAAATATAATCTTTAACTCTTTTGCGTATCATTGTATCAAGGTCAAAAGTTCGCGCACAGTTGAACATGTCTAATCAGAACCGACTGTTTTCGCAGCTCTTGCAAGTGTAATACGATAGGAAATTAGGGGCTCCAATGCGTAGATATTTAATATAAGTGTTTTAATACTTTGCATAACTTTATTGGAGAACAAGGCACAACATTAATTTAATTTTTTTTATTATTAAAAGCCATTTACCGAGGAGCAAAATTCCACTTTAACCGATTTGTTTTACCGACCGCTGTCATGGCTCTTGCCATTACCGAATAACTTCGCGTTTTACCGACTACCTCACTAAAACTGGGGGGTGTCACACCCCCCCACACCCCCCCGCACGCTACGCCCCTGCATCTGCGAATATGTTCGCAGATGATACTAATATAACAACAAAAGGTTTCAACGTAGAGGAGATTCAAACGCGTTTAAACGATGATCTAGGATATTCATGAATGGTTATTGGCGAATAAATTGACTTTAAATAAAGAAAAAAACATACTATGATAATTGGTTCGCGTCAGAGACTATCAAAGATTGAAACTGACCCTGTAATTGAAGGGGTAGGTATTTTCCGAGTTAAGTCCTTCGAGTTAAGCCTTCCGAGTTAAGCCCTTTTCGAGTTAAGCCCCTGCCATGTCCTTTTTCGCCGAGGGCTTAACTCGAAATCAATTAACGATTTAAGCATTCCTGCATTCGAGTTAAGCCCCGACATTTGGTCACAGAGTAGATACATACAGAGACGTAACTGACCGTTGTAAAAACTGCGGAAGCTTACGTTTTCATGTACCTACTTTTTTTCAGGCGACCGGGCAAAAAACTGCGCGTGCTCAGCAAGTTTAAAGTGAGTCGTCATCAGGTCGTCATCCAATCAGATGCATGTATCTAGTAACTTGCCGAGCATGCGCACAAAAAAGGTGGGTATACTAGTTACGTCTCTGCATATCTCTACTCTGTGATTTGGTGGATGTAAACAAGTGACGCGTGTATACTCGCAAAAATATTGGCAAATATATGTAAGGAGGGAGAATGTAAAATTTCAGCAATTTTAAAGGGTAACTCCAGCCCAAATACAAGTGTGGTTTATATGAAAGATCTTCCCCTTATTAGAATGTTCCTCAAGTATTTCGGTCTAAATATTAATAGTAAAGGAGAAATTGCTTGTCAAAGTTTGCGATTTTGTCAAATTTGGGCGCCATGTTGTTCTTTTCACTGCAGTCTCGGATTTGTCCAGCGTCCTCATTTTTTACGTCATTGCGTGGCGATTTAATAAGAATATCGATTATTTCTCTGCTTCTAATTATTTAATTAATGTGAGTTTAGACCGATTTAACAGAGATATTTTACAGACGGAGATATTTTACATTACCGAGCTTCTGGCTGAGGTGAATCAAGAGTTGCCAGGTCATGTTCATGTTGGTGTACGGAAACTAGCTTGCGCAGAATTAAATAATTATATGTTGCGGTTATTGCCCTGTGTGGATCTGGCTCTTGTTGGCCTCTCGGATTCAATTTGCATGAATATCGATGCTGCGTTTGCGTTCAGCAACGATTTATCGGTTTATGCGACTTCTGTTTAGACTGTTTGCTCATGTATGCGAGCAATAAGATTAATTGGTATCGGGTATTTCACTGAAAGTCACAGATATGTACAGTAGTCGTGGCCATGGATTTATATCAATTTTAATCGAAGAGAGGTGAGAGGGAAGAGAGTCGTCACTCGTATGAATGCATGGGTATCTTTTACTGCTAACATGTCTTTAATCAGCCTGTCCTTGAGTTAGGGCTTGAAGCAGACTGCTACAAGCAGTTTCAGTCGCTGAAAACGTTTTGTTATTTATTGTGCAATTACGGTAAATAGACGTCTTACTTTTTACTTTTAACGATTCTTTGACTTGCGAGTTTGCGTCAAGCCATTTGCATATATGAAATGAATTTGGACATCAATAATATAAAATAATGTTACCTAGATAATTCTGAGGGCAGACTACATGCTGGGCTACTATTATATGTCGCATGACAAGCTGTTTATAGAAATGTATAATTTGTCTGTTGGCTGTAACCTGAAGTTCAGGTGAAGCTATTTAAATAAAGTACGATGAGATTTTTTAAAAAAGACAATCCTTACAAAAGAATTGTTTTATAACAGACAGGCTAGCACAGTGTTTTAAACATTTGTTGTAGTGTTGGGCCAGTTTGCAGAACGTGGCACATTTCGACGAGATCTCGGGTGCGATATACCAAGAATTTCAAGTGCAGGTGCGCTTCAAACTGTCAGGTGCGCACCTGAAAAATTGTAAAAAATGCTGTAGGTGCGAATTTTTTGTGACAAGGTGTGTCACCGCCGGTCCGCCGGCTGGGAAATAGTAAATTACAATTTATCAACGGCTTATCTCTTGTCTTTCCCCCCACGGTCCACTCTTTCGTATATCTTTTCTTGCGTGGCCAAATACGCGCTAGACAGTAACCCACTGAGCAGTAATGCGTATTGCGTAAGCTGATTTGATATTTTCGCGCCAATTTTTTCCTGAAAGAAAATGGCGGAAGCAGACAGACGGGAAGCTATAGAAGTAACATGTGCAGTTTGCGATAAAGAGGTAGGAACAGGACACAAATGTAAGTTATGCAGCGAATTTGTTCATCTTATATGCGGGGAAAGGGATGAAGATGAAGAAAAAGAAGGATACGGACAAAGTGTATCATGTTTCAAGTGTTTAAAAATAAGAGGAAGAGGTACCAGT